CAGTATAAAAAATCACCAATTTGATACACAACTTGAGGTGAATCTCAAGTTTTTGTCTATTAAAAACCAACATAATTAATATGGATTTACCAGAGATATATTATGGAGAATCAGGACAATTTATAAAGGACAGAATCTATCAACATACGAATGACTCCAAAAATAAATATAATCCACAATATAACAAAAAACCAGCACTAATACAATATAGTATCAGGATGGTGACTGACCTTGGAAAAATGAGGAAAGTCAGGGAATATTCAAAACGGAGAATTTTTTTTCAAATTGGAAATAAATATAAGAATAAGAGTAAGAATAAGAATAGAAAATAACTTTATTCTGGGACAAAGCCCCTTTAGAATAGCAAAATAGAACATAATTAAAATACTACATCTGGCCAAAATAAATAATAATAAAAAAAGAGAAAATAAATAAAATATTAGTTAAACAAGCTATATACAAAAAAAAAAAATCTATATACAAAACACTTAAAACTATGATAAAACACTTGAGACTATGTACAGTAGGAAAAATTATAATAATACTCTTTTGAAAAATGAAATAATAAAAAATAAATTGAATTCTTCTTTAAAATGAGGTGTTTCTGCTAACAAAGAAAAGACAAAGCTGACAATATAAAATATCAGTGTCTTTAAATAATGATTAATATGTATACTCATCATTGTCAAATGCTAGAGGTACCGATTTAATTAAATACCAATAATAAATTAAAAAAATAGATGTGGTCAGTGGCATTAAGAGCCGGAAGATATTGTAATATCCCTTGTGAAGTTCACAGTATAGAATAGTACTATCATTTGATGATGACTAGAATATCGAAAGTTTAGCAAGTATCTGACTGTTTTTGGGATAGGAATTGGAATAGAAGGGATTTGAATGAGGATATGGAGGGAGAATGCCGAAATTTTGATAGGTAGAGAAGTCCAGAAATTGACAGCGCGAGCTATAAAGGAATTCTGAAATGAGGCAGATCTGTGCATTGTATAAACGATATACAGTGGATATCGTTTATAATGACCATGAAGGGGCAAACTTTGTCGTTATAGACGGCCATGGTCGCTATATTCATCTACCTTTGACTGTCAATAGCGGCTATGGTCGTTGTATTTTCATAATGAATGAAATTTAAGCAAAATGGACTTTAAACAGTGTTTTTTTTTTTTTTAAGAAAAACAATATAAACAGCCAATACTATTTACTATTTGTATTATATACATCTTTGGACATATTTATTTATTTTTATAAAGCAATGAACTTCTTAACGGTAATTCTATCTGTCGATTAATGTCCTTTAGAACATTTTTTTATCTAGAAATGTAGAGTCCGGTCGAGCATCAACTTCTTAAAAAGTTGCATTCCATCATGTTGAATACGTCACCGTCATGATAATTTTCACAAACTGTCGTCTAAACTTAATTTCATTCTTTAATTAACTGAAGGGGAATGCTGGCAGCTGCACAGCTAATTTAACTGTATTGTGTTGGGAGCAGATCTTTGTATCTATTCTTGCAAAATAATTTAAGGTTCATAAAATGAATCTTGAATTTATTTTTAATATTCATTAGTCTTTTCGAGTAAAATCTGCCTTAATCCTGATCAAGACTGGTCTGGCCAGACCTGCTAGCTAGCGTGTGCCCAAGGGTCTCTGAGCCAAGGACCCAAAATCAATGTGTTTTTTTCCAGTATACCAAAAATAATTGTTTTGTATTCGTTTATATCCACAAATTTTTGGGGCCCCATCATAAATGTTTTATCGCTGTGAAATGATTTGTGGACCCCTTCCCCTTCTGAGGGTCAAAAGATCATTGTTTTGTATTTATTTAGTACCGTTGAGTATTTGGTGACAAAAATAATTGTAATTTATTATTCATTCATTATCGCTTATTTTTGAGACCACTCTGGAGGGGCTCCAACATTAAATGTTTTGTACATTTTTATCGCCATAGAATGCTTTCCAGTACCCCAAAAATACTTCTTTTGTATTAGATTGATTGTATTGTATTTCGATGGGTCCCCAACGCTAATGTTTTTTACTTTTTAATTGCCGTAGAATGATTGGGAGCCCCTTCTGAGGGTCCCGAATATCATTATTTTGTATTTATCTAGTACCGTGGTATGTTTTGCCACAAAAATAATTGTTTATTATTCGTTTATTTATGCAAATTTTTGGGTCCCCTCCAATATGGTCCCAACATAAATGTGTTGTACTTTTTTATTGCTGTAGAATGATTGGAGTCCCCACTGAAGGCCTGTTATGTCGTATACAGTGAATATACAAATTGTGAATGAAATGTACGATTCTTCTTTTGTAATAGTTCTATTTAATATAGTTTCAACAACAATTGATAAATTATAATGAATCAAGCAATATTGAATAATCAATATCATGTGTTAAAATCACAGATATTATTATCTTATCGAGATAAATCGATAAATACAGCAGGGCCTGAATTTTTCTAGTACCATGTTATGTTTGACCCCAAAAATAATGGTTTTGTATTCCTTTATTTATAAACATTTTTGGGGTTCTCTGATGGCCCCCCAAAATATTTGTTTTTCCCCCATAAAATGATTGAGGGTCTCTTCTTAGGGCCCCGAATATCATTACTTTGTAATTATCCAGTACCTTTGTATGTTTGACCCCAAAAATAATTCTTTTATATTTTGATGGATCCCCAACGTAAATGTTTTGTACTTTTTAATTGCTGTAGAATGATTAGGAGCCCCCTCTGAGGGACCCGAATATCGTTATTTTGTATTTTTCTATAACCATGGTATGTTTGACCCCCAAAATAATTGTTTTTTATTCGTTTATTTCTAAAAACTTTTGAAGCTCTTCTGATGGGCCCCCAATATATATATGTTTTATACTTGTTTTCCCATTAAATGATTAGAGACTCCCTCTTAGGGCCTCGAATATCATTATTTTGTATTTTTCTATAATCCCTGAAAACGATTGTTTTGTATTAGTTTATTTCCGCAAATTTATGAGGCCCTTTGACAGTTCTCCAACTTAAATTTTTATTTTTTATATGGCTTTAGAATGATTTGGAAGCCATCTCTGAAAGCCCGGATATCATTGTTTTGTATTCATATATTTTCACAAATTTTTGGGTCCCCTCCGATGGAGGATGGGGTCCCAACATATAAGTTTTTTACTTTTATATAGACGTAGGATGATGGGAGAACCCCCTTTGAAAGCCTGGAATATCGTTATTTTGTATTTATCTAGTACCTTTAAAAATTACTATTATTTTTAAAAAATAATAATTTTTAAATGTTTTCAATGTAACATAAAAGGCTGTGAGATAAAAAGAGGTTTTAATAAATATATAATCATACATAGATTAAAACATAATAATTATTAAAAAATCTCACTAAAAATATGAATAACCAAAATAATATTGTTCATCGTAATAATAGTTTGTATTAACTAAGTGAATAACTGGAAATATTTTCAAATTAATGATTTCTAATGTATGATTAATGTGGAATGAGATATTTTTAGGTGCCTTGATTTACTATTTTTAATAATAGAGATATTAATTTATAATTTATGCGCTTATTAACCAGCAGTTATTTTTCGATCTAGACATTTTCCCCTTGAATACAATATAAATAAATTATATTATATATGATATTTATATTTTATTGTGATATAATTATAATTATTAGGAAATATAAAAGGAAGCGCAATATAACATACAATGAAAATATTCGAAGTAAAGGGCTCAAATTGATGTTGGGCTTTTATGAAGCTGGACAAGTCGAATATATATTATGGTTATAAATTGGCAATAAGACGCGATGTATAATATAGATTTTTAAAGAAATTAAAAATTTGTCTGAGCTGTGGTTTCGCTCATTTATTTTATGTTGATAAAAAATAATACAATCTGGACTACAGAATACATGTATGTGGTATAATAATACACATGAACTACAGTTGTACATATTGAGCTATGAGTAGTACAATTAAATGAACAATTGTATAATTTGTAAAATGGGAGTTAGTCTGCTGTTAGGTGAACATGGGGTACCTCCCTAGTGAAATAAAAAATCCTATTCAGTCTTAAAAAATGCTTACTCTAAAACACTATATTTGTTATTTAAAAGACTGATTTTTTTTATTTAAATCATTTTGTAGTCAATTTTCTTTCATGTATAATAAATAAATTTAATTATAAATTATGCATTTTAAATATTTTTGTCTCTAGATATATTGGTCAGGAAAAACTATCATGGAATAGGGAAATGTCAGGGAATTTTATTTTAACTGTCTGGTAGCCACCCTGAGTGTAGAGAAAGGACATAGATTTGATTTCGAAGATGTAGAAATTATATATAAGGAAGAAAAATTCTAGAGGCAATAACTATTATGTAAAATTTAGACTATATAATATATAATATTAAATACATTTTATGTGATAATAAGTATAACTTCTCTAATTGTACCTATGATTTTGAATTTAGTTTGACATTCACAAATTTTTATACATGTTACCACTTTAAACGGGAAAGACTGTTTTTCTTTTTCCAACACTTAGCCTGTTCTATGGTGTCAAAGTAGTGTATTGCACAAATTCACTTCTGACACTTATTTTGTAGCAAGGTACTGTCAAACCTATTTGTGCAAAAATACCCTAAATGAATTTTTGTTGTACTTGAGCTCTTTGAATAGTTCGGTTTTTATTTCTGATGACCTGATAATATCTTACATGTGGGTCATTATGTATATTTGTAATAAGAAATACTAAACAGTAAGTAATACTGGCTTAATTATTTAGATCAGTTTATTTTAGCTTAATGTGAACTCAAAAGAAAATTTCTTCTTTCATTTTATTTTTCTGTGGGTGTGTGTACATTTACAAGGAAATTACTTTAAACAAACTTATAATATTATGTCAAAATATAAATAAAATTGCAAGTTTTAATCTGATTTTTAATATTCTTGCTGTTATTGATTATGTTTGTTTTAGAAGCAAGAGACAAGCAAAGGTGCTTGAAGACTACTGGGATTGCAGTGTATGTACATATCGAAACACAGCGGAAGCATTTAAGTGCCTAATGTGTGACATACGCAAAGGGACGTCTACCAGGTTGGAAAGAATTATTATCTATATAAGATTTTAACTTTGCCTAATATTTAATATTTATTTTATTATTAATTTTTTTTTTATTTTAAGATACTTTTTTTTCCAAATTGTGAATTTTCTTTAAAATATTTTTGAGAAAACAGATGAGATGGTCTGGGAGAGGGGGGAAGGGAATGGTCATAAAAAAAACTTACATTGTGAAGAATATTTTATTTAAGCCAGCCCAAATATCTATACATGTATTTATCAGAGGCTGGAACGAACAAGATACAAAGGCTATAGAAAATTGTAGGAGTTACAAAATAAATTATCTTGATAGATAATTTATTATAATTTGAAAGATAGATTATTATGTAACTCATACAATTTTCTATAGCCTTTATATCTTGTTCGCTCTAGCCCTGATAAATATCTGCATAGTTCGTTCGAAACGTTGGTTTAACAGAGTGTCCAGTGACCGGAAAAACTGGGAATTGTATGGGAATTTCTCAAATAGAGAAATGTGCCGGAAATTATCAAAAAAACAGAACTTTTTTTTTCTTATGCTGCTTTTGTGACTAAATAAATGAATCTTTTCTAGAATAGATTGGAGAAAAACAAAACAAAATAAAACAGCGTGAGCAGCAAAGCAAGGTTCTATTTTCCACTCATTTTTAATTGTAAAAAAATAGAAAGGGATTAAATTGGCATTAAATAGAGAAATAAAATCTTTGCAAATAATTACCCACTGGTTTATTATATTCATAATAAATAGTTTTTAAGTTTAATATGTATAGCGAACGACTTTAACTAACACATCGAAAACATTTATACACAATGATTAGGACATTTAAAAATATTTATTTAATAGTATATCTTTTTAATAAGCTATGTATATAATTATAAAAATTTTCATACCAGAATTAGGATTCTTAAAGATCAGGGAGATATAAATAAAAAAAAAACCGATGAACCAATTTTAATGAAAGATGGCCTAAGTCTTTTCCTCAAAGAACTTTATATTTACATCTACAATAAACTTCACCCAAAAGAAGCCGGAAAAATTAATTACGATGTCAACATTAGATATCCTGAAAAAAAAAGTATTAACTTTTTTGTTGATATTGTATGCTCATTTGAAAGTATACTAAATTACCTATACAATAAATAAAAAATCCTTAAAATTCAGTAAAAAGATATGTTGTTCCAAATATTTACCAAATGTTCTAATGCTGATCATTGTTTTGTCTTAAAGAAACTGTATGACTGATTTTTGTAATTACTGGATGAATTTCCCCTAACCGAAATTGTCCTAAGTTTAATAGTATTGTTTTGCCTGGAAATAAACTCTATAAACCGAATTTCGGCTTATTCTGTGAAACAGGGGCCGCTAGAAAAGCCGAAATGTAGCAGGGAAAAAATATATATACTGACACCTCTAAAAATTGCAGAATAATTTCTGAGAATCATTGATTCCAAAATGGATAGAAACCGCAACCCTGCCTTCCACTGACGACTTTCAATACAGTGTAAATAGTCTATTATTTCCAAAGGAAAATAGACAAATATATATATATATATATATATATATATATATATATACATATATATCTAGATTAAAAAAAAAAAAATATTTTAATAATGGTAATTCCTCTGGAGGAAAATGTAGGGCTAAGAAAGGAAATACAGAAACAATAGTGCTTTCAGGGATAAATTATTTATATATTTTTTCTTAACACATGCTTACATTGTATAACTTTGTGTAGGTTATAATTTAAAAAGAATACATGTAGTTTTTTAAGTACTTATCACAGATTATACACAGAAATAAATATGGATCTAAAAAAATATATATAAATTTATATATATATATATATAAAGATATATATATATTATTTTTCTATATTAGTGGGTTACAGCCCGAAAGTCTCCAGTAATTGTTTGCAATTATGTGATAAAGAATATTGTTATATTCTCATAAAATTATGGAAAAATATTCTTCTTTATTGACAAAATATTTATTTTCACTCAAATTTACAAGTCTAAATACATATAATTGCTATTGTACTCACTCCTGTAAATACGAATATGGCTATGTTTACAAGTGCTGTAACTATTGTTATATTCACATATAACATATAATATATATTCCTTATTACTGAAAAAATATTAATAATCAGTCACCATACTCCCTTCAGCAATGCCAGACAGAATGCCCTGAAGAAGATCAGAAGAAGAAATGTTGGAAATTTTAATAAAATATAGATAGATAGATAGAGAATATATTTGTATAAAGCAGTACATGCTTGTTACATACACCATATTGTGGTTGGCCCTTTGAATATAACATTAAATAACATTTATAAGTTACAACATAATAATATTTATAACTTAATTTTTTTTTAAAATAGCAATGGCAAAGCAAGTATAACATTAATGATGTAAGATTTCATAACAACACATATATATACATTTTTTTTTTTTCCTTTTAATATTTATGGAAAAATATATATACCTATACTTTGCACATACATAAATATACTGTGCATACTAATTAATAAATACCAAATACAATAAATAATATATATAAATACATTATAACTATTTAGTTTCTATGACTAATAAGGCCCCATCAAGAAGTTTCAAGCCGGCTAACCTCTAGAGAATTAGAGTTGTTCAAGATGCGAAGGACAGAAATACATGGTTCATTTTATTTTTACTGTTATAGTTTAAAATCTTTTCTATTGAAGAGAAATCATAATTTTCAGATATATGTAATTCTTTAAAAATTGTTCTCTGTATGATTTATTAGAGGATCAGTGCAGAAGAAGATGGTTCAGAGTGTCATCAATGGGTTTCCGACAGAGTTCGCATGATTTTTAAAATCAGACATTTATTTTGTAAATAATTTGTAGATATGCAGTGTTTGCGATCCGTAGTTGGCTTATTGCTCTGTGTTTGTGGATATTTAAACTGTGTAACAAATTTTCTTCTGGTTGCGGATAAGTGAAAATCCAGTTTTTTCTTCAATGATTTCCCTTTTATTTGCAATTAGTTTATTTTCGTTTGACCTGTGAAAAAATCCAGTGTATTATTCTTGAATGCTATTCTCTTGAGTTATGAAATCCAATTTTATTTGAAATCTTGATTTCTGAGATCTAAGGTTGATACTCTATTAAAGCAATGGCGTGGTAGTCTATTTCCAGGTGATGAGAGGATTTTTATGCAAAAATTGAGAAATTTCTTAAAGACTATTGCAGAAAGTGGGAGGCAACCTGTTTCTAGGCGTACTATGTAATTGGAAGTAGTCTTAGACCAAAAACATAATGATTTCAGAAATTTGGTTTGCGCGGTTTCTATAACTTCCAAGTGATTTAAGCTCCAGATCTCAGTTAAGTAAGATATCTATGCCAGTATAAAAGGGTGAGTTTTGCTTTACACAATTCATGTAACCTACCACTTTCAATCAAAATACATTCCACTGCCAGAATAAGTCGAATATTTCCTATGTTGAACTCATTAGAGTTATTTGCCTTTACTTTAATTAAATTGGAAAGTTGCCTAAACAACGATAAATATCAAAAGATTCGCGTTGACTCCTAGGTCTTATTAGATTGATTTAAAGAAAATAACTATTTTTCTCATTTTCTATTGTACCTTAACTTGAAAGAGGCCTTGATTCATCCAACGATTGTGATATTATCTGTTTATTTATTTATTTTTTTTATTTTGTATGGATTTTATATTTCAGAAATTATATTTTCTTATTAATTAATTATTTTCATTTCTTTTATCCGTTCATATCTCAAGTATTAAACGTAATTTATAAAATATTGCAACGATAAAACAAAAAAATACTCTTTTTTTTGTTATATACACAAAAAAAAAATATGTATATAATACAATAAAAATAATAATAAAAAATATTATATACACAATACAGCTGAGAAAAGTAGGAGAAATGGTTTGGGTAGGATAGTAATATTTTTTGAACAGAGCTAGAGGAAAATTATCCCAAATGCAAAAAAAAAAAAACTTCTGCCAAGTAAAGTAAGGCCAGTTCTTCACAATTTTCATTGGTTAAACCTTACCTTTAGCTCCATATATAATTTCTCATTTGTGAACAATATCTTTAGGAGAAACTGTTTTGAATTACAGTAATCTTTATTTAATGAATTATTGAAGGAAGTTAATCGACTGTTCTACATATCATTGGTGATAAATAGTCAGGATCTTGATTTGAAAACTGGGAGTTTTCAGCATCAGTGAATACAATAATGCCGATGAGTTCTGCATTTGTGAATTGCATATTTTACTATTCGTGGTTACGAAAAAATCACGTAATGAAACAATTCCTATTACTATATGTATGTACACATTGAACAAACATGCTTAGGTACTTATTAAGTATGCTTCTAATCCTAAAATAGATGCAACTCAAATTCATTGAAAAACTTCAATTTTTTGTTTGTTCGGTGTTAACGAAACCAATTTTTTTCATTAGCCAGATCAAAACTAATTATAGGAGGAATATAAGAATATGAGTGAAGTTAAAGTGCATACAAAGAAGACATACTTTACATACTTAAAATTTATTGATGCCTACGTTTTACCTTTCAACAATAACTAGCTCAAAAATGCATGAATGTGGTTTATTGTAATGGGTGGAATTTGATAACATTTACCTACTAGATCATGTGTTTATCAATCCCTTACTTTCCTTCAAATTTGGGCCAAATAGAATGTGTAGTTTTGAGATATAGGCGTTTCAAGAAAAATGTGTTTGCTCATATTTAAGAGAACGGATGGATTTCAATAAGATTGATATGGTATCATTTTTTCACAAACACCCAACTTTCTTCTAGCTTTAGGCCAAATCTAACAGGTCATTTCTGAAATATAGGCATATCTAAGAAAATACATTTACGTGTTTGTTAGTAAAAGTGTGAGGTGGAATTTGATATATATATATATATATATATATATATATATATATATATATAAGCTGTTGAGTAAAATCCATC